GGTAAACATCATGCCGATGTCGACTGTCTAAGTAGATACCCAATAGGCGAACCCGAGGAAACTGCTGAATACGAAGATCGAGTACATGCTTTCACTGTACAATTAGAATTAAATTTAGAAAAATTTAGAGAAGAACAATCAAAAGACCAATTCTGTGTTCGAATAATGGAAAATGTCAAAAATCATGATTCACTTTCTAACAAGAGAAAAAAGAAGTTGGAGAAATTTTTAATCAAAGATGCGCTATTGTACAGGAAGATTTGGAAAAATCAAGAATCCTTTAATTTATTGGTCGTTCCAAAATCGTTAAGAAAAGAAATCTGCCAAATCCACCATGATTCCGTTTATGCTGGTCACCAAGGAATAACCAAAACTTACGAAAAGATTCGTAGTAAATATTATTGGTCGGGAATGACGAGTTATATTAATAATTATGTTGCAACTTGCTTCCTTTGTCAAACAAAAATGCATCACCATCTTCGCAAAATACGGCCAAATTTATCAAACAACAAATTTTCTGTCGCCATGGTGCTCCCACGTTCCTCGTTTCAGATAATGGGACAAACTTTACGAGTAAACTAATCAAAGAACTTGCTGATAATCACAACATCAAACACTGTTTTACGACACCGTATCATCCTCAATCAAATGGACAAGTAGAACGTGTAAATTCTAATCTAGCTGCGATGTTATCAATGTATGTCAACGAGTATCATAACGACTGGGACGAATATCTACCTTATGTCACCTTTGCTTACAATATTTCAACTCATTCCAGTACGAGAATGTCACCTTTTGAACTTTTATACGGAAGAAAAGCTCTCACCCCTGACGAAGCTAATATTCCTGTTGACACCCCAGCATATGATGAAGAAGAGAGAATCGAATTTATCAAAAATACTTGGCCAAGATTAAGAGAGTTTGTCTTTAATAACATGGAAGAATCTCGCTCCAAGAATCTTGATGATTATAATTCAAGACATGAAAACAAAGAATTCGAAATTGGAGATCTTGTTCTTGTGTATTATCCTAATCCAATTACTACCGGACTAGTCAAAAAATTACTTCATAAATATCATGGTCCTTACGTTATCATCGAGAAACCATCGCCTCTAGTCTACGTTGTTCAAGAAATTGGTACACAAAAAAGACAAACTGTTAACATAAAACGACTAAAACATTATCAACAAAGAGATGAAAACTGCGACCACGAATCACACAAGACCACTCCAATCACCATCAGGCCTAACCTTTCATTCAACTTTAGTCGAAATCAACTGATAAGTAACCAAGATCTATCACAATCATCAAATGATAGCTGGCATGATACTTGTGACTTTGCAGAGACACAAACAGGACCAACTTGCAGTACGCCCGCAAATAACCGGACATTCACAGTACAAAACCCAAAAAGAATCATTTTTGATAATTCTTTCTCAACTAATCCATCTACAGATAATGATAGTTCAATTGATAGTAGAGACAACTGTCCTCTTTGCAGTGAATTATCTCAAGAAGTTCAAACTCCAAAGGAAAAAACAACTACCCCTGTACCAAAAAGAGTACGATTTTACGACGAACTAACCGACGAAGAACCATCTCCTCCAAGAAAATCGCAACATGATCCTGATTTTTCACCGCCTAAGACTTCAGCAAGAAACTACCAAACTGAAAGAAGAGTCACCCGATCGAAAAGCGCCGGATTAACAGGACTCGTCTTCACCTTGGCTTGCCTGATTCCACTTCAAACTAACGCTGATTTTAATGTCATGAATCCTCTCTTATGGCAAAAATCAAATAAACCTGTCATCGATATGGAAGGAGAAATTTTATCTGAAATTTCACTAATCAACACATGTCCCTTCCTTTCGAAATCACTTAAGCTTCCAGAACAAAAACGAAAAGATTTCCGAGATTGGTGTAATAATCAGTACCAAGAAAGTACGATAAAAACTATCGTAAAATATTGTGATACCCGAGTGATAAGACCTAAACGAGAAATTATATTAACTGCTTCAACTCTCGTGTTTGTAGGAATATCTGCTTTCGGAATTATAAAAAGCTTTTCGGACAAGACAAAAAAGCTAGAATCAGAAATCGGTAATACAAAGATAAACATGGCAAAATTGGAAAGCAAGGTAAATGAACTCAGTGCTGCGATAGACAAAGCCATCGCACGTATCAATAACAACACAATAAGAATCGACGAATTAGAAAACTCGATATTACCAACCATCTTATCAGCTACAGGAATAGCCAATTATTTCACCACCCTCAAAATACAATTGATTGACATATTTAAAGAAATGCAACAATCTAAAGTAAGTCCTCAAATGTTTAATTTACTTAATATCTCCATCGAAGACGAATTTAGATACCCCGTTGAATTGATGACAGTCCAATCATGTCATTTCAACATCGAAACATCAACTTTAAAGTTCTCAATCCACGGTTTCCGACGAAATGACAACTACATGATAACAGAGGCTGACCCATTTTGGTTAAAGACAAATAATAACAATTGTGTTTATTATGTTGGACCCACTTACGTTCTATTTCACACAAAAGAAAAAAGAGTTTGTGACATCCAAAATCGAGCAATCCAGAAAGGGCCCATAGTTGTTGATACCAATTTCAAATGCAAAATGAACAAATCAAACTCTGAAAATTTGTGGAAAACTTCGCAATGTGAAAACACTTTTACCGATTTACAAATCAAATCCACTTCAAATGGTAGATACATCTACTGTTTTGGTCATAAAATCACAATAGCTGATGAAGAATTCGATTGTCCCAATTGGGTCTTTTCGTTTCCAAAAGATGTTAAACTAGTTATCGACGGTGAAACCCACGAGTTCTTCAAACTACATTTCAAGTACAAAGCCGGTTTTCAACAATCTGACTTGGATGCCATAAACCACTTCTTTTCAGCCGGCCAAGTACACACCCAACTCCTCGAAAAACTCGAATTCAAAAATGAAACATTCAGTGTTATTTTGAGTAATAATCCTACTTATTTAACATCGTTAATTATCTCCATCATCATTATTTTTTCTATCATCACTTTCCTCATCTATCGTTATATTTATCCAAAAATCAAAGCACTTCGTCTTCATTACAAAACTAGAACACCGAAAAGCGACTCAAACGACCCTCAAGGAGAATTGGCTCTGAATAATCTAGAAAACGAACAAGATTCAACAAAAACAACAGATAAAAAACCAGTAATCCTATTCAAATTCTAATCATCATCAAAATCATCATCAAAATCATCATCAAAATCATCATCAAAATCATCATCAAAATCAACATCAGAATCATCATCATAAATATTATCCTAATCTTTAGCTCAAATTTTCAATTAACCCGATAACCCGAAGTACAATAAATAAGAGAAACATATTTTCAATTTAAAATTCAAACTTTTATTATTAAGTTTTAGTTATTATCATAAACATCTCCATCAACGTCTTCGTCAACATCATCATTGTTGTCACCTAAACCATCATATCGATCGTTCTACTAACACTTTCTCGCTGTCACTCACTACATTACCCGAATAAAAGAATAGAAGAGGTTATTCCAGTTTAAGATTTCAAATTTTAATCAAATTTTTTCATGAGTGATAATTATTTCACCATGATTTAACTGTGTTTGGAGGATAAATAATGCCTCGACCATATGAAGGACACATGAGGCGAATGTAAAAATTGCCGTAAACTTCCACTCCTTCAATTGAGCACAGATAATCTTGTACGGCCTCGAATCCCTTGTCTTGATGAGGAAACCGATATCCTGTCAATTGATTCCATGTTTTGATAACTGAACCAATAGTAACATGTTCTTTCTCCCACGAAGAATTCCATTCCAGAGTGGAAATCACTAACCTAATAGAATCCTCTAAAAAAAAAAAGAAGAGAATGATAATCCATAGATAGAATAAAAAAAAAACAAGAACAAAACTAACCCATTATTAAGTAAGCAAATTAAGAAATTTTCACAGTTAAACAAAGTAAAAGTTGACGCAAAGAGAAGTTTAACCAACAATGAATAGAGACGAACAAATAATGATTAATCAACCTTAGTTCTTTACTGCTTTTATACCAAGAAAATCAATTAAATCTTCCAATACAAACATTAATTTTACCAAATTACTCATAAGTTCCTGAATGAAACAATTAAAACCAATAATTACCCTTCCCATCATTAACCTCCTGATTTCCTTCCCGAAGATCCATGTACTTCGAAACATTTATGAGAAAATTAGACAAGAAAAACTAATGATTTCTTTTAAACCAATTAACAATTTCCTGAACAACAAAATCAAGTTAATTAATAATAACCATTATTTTCCATCTCCTTCACGAAAAATAATCTTACCTTTTCCGTTTCTCATAAAAAAAAATATACACAGAAAGGTGTTTAATTGAAAATGAATATAAAAAAAAATCAGAGAAGTAGAAACATTAAGTTGATTAATGATCAAAATAACATTAAAATGCAATAAAAACACAAAACACGTGAACGAACATAGCTCCGCCCCCATAGCTCATGGCAATTTTTGGCAATTTCCTAAAATCGACTCTACCCTGACCTTTCACCAGACACCTTAAACTTATTTCTATGATGAGGTATTATCGGGTACTGGCGTTAAATGTTAATTACCTAATTGTAAACTTTGATGCTGCTGATTGTTACGGTTGTTTTAGTAAACAACATTTGGTTTAATTGTCGATTGTTGATTAACAACAATAATCATTTTCACTTGATTGATTTACTTATTGATGATAATGGTAAACAATATTCATAACAGCAACAAGACTAATAATGTATTAGCTTTTGATGGTGATGGTTCAACTAATTAATATATTTGATTGAAGGTTAATAAAATTAATTTACACGTAGGTTGATCAGTTTAAATTCAAGATTTAATTTGGTTTTTCAAAATTGAGACAAGAAAGTTTATTTCTTAAAAATACCAATATCATACTTAATTTTTCCTACGACCCTGCTTGCGTCACTCGTCGATCAACCATGACCTTGTCCCAAGCAGTTTGCTGATCTTCGGGGAGTTCAAAATCATGTCCTGTTACCTCGCCAGTTGTTGGGTCAGTTATCTCAATAAACAAATCAGGGTTGGTACAAACCACTTTCCCCCATGGAAAAACGGTAGGTGCAGCACTAGGAGGAACTCTCGATGTTGATTCGAGTCCGTCAACGACGACTCGTTCCTCGCAAGTTATTTTTAGATACCGTTGATTTTTATCTCTTTTTCGGCCGATTACATGATAAATTAATTGTGTCAGCTTCGGCCAAGAAATTCCACAATACGCACATTCATATAAAAAACAATGTTCCTGTTTATTGACAACGGCTTCTTTCTCCTGGACCTCAATTAATTTATCCTCTCCGCCAGCTAGTCTAACTAATTGATCCCAAGGCAACATTTTCGCACCTTCGAGGTCTTTTGGATTAATAATCCGATCACCAGGAATGATGGAATGTTCCCAAATGGCCAAATAAAAAATTTTACCACCACGCAACGCACAATACGGCAATGATTTTACCGGAAATTCGTCCATGTCAGCAGCGACCCTAACCGATTGAGTTCCATCACCATCATGATTCAGCGAATCACAATCCCGCTCCATTGAGCTCGTTTGTTCATCTCCATCAATATGGCCACTGATTAAAGAGGAAGCTCCCTCGTTGTCCCCACTATTAATCATTCAGCGCTGGTACACGAATCCCCCGTTTGCCGGTTTAAACTTGAGTCTTGACTCATATTTTTTTTTCTCTTTGTTGATACGTTTTAAGGAAACAAAAAAAAATACTAAAACTGAAACGTAAACAAAAAAAAAACAACAACCAGAAAGAAACAATAACAATAGAATTATTGTGGAAAAAATATTAGTAACTAATCGGAAACTAGATCACCTCAATATCCTATTTACGCAACGACATCTATTTCCATTTCAACTGCAAATAATTTCCGCCAATTTTGAATACCAAAAATGGAATAAGCAACACAACGATCCATATAAGGTATTTCCGATTGAAATATCGCAAGATAATTTATTTTCTGCATATAAACGGTTGATTATTAATCAAACTCATCACTCAACCTGAATCCACAATTCAGTTAACATCAATATCACTTCAATATTAAAAAGTTTAACATCAATCCTACATCAAATCATAATTATTAGTGATCATCTTCAACTCAGTTCTATTTCATCTTTAAAACAATTCACCATGAGTCTCAGTAAAATATTAACTGTTAATGTTAAAGTTCCAACCTTCAATGGATTCGAACCATCGATAGAAAATTGGATAAGTGACTACGAACAAATCACAAATATCATTGGTTGGTCCGATGAAGCTCGTCTCGTTGGATTTCCCGATTTTTTAACTGGAGTCGCCCAACTTTTGTTCAAAGAAGAGTATTCTTACGAATATAACTTCCCGCAAAGTTGGTCAGAAGCTAAAGAAAGGTTGATCAAAGACTTTACTCCAATAACCAACAACAACAATCAAAATAGTGAACTCCTGGACAAACCCAAGTCACCTTTCTCGGTTTCACCGATGAAATTTGCCATAATATTATAAAGGCACAACGAGAAAGGGTGCGTCTGGATCTGCTACTATTGAAGTGATTTTGGACATAGCAAGTACACTGGTTGAGACCGCTAGACATCTCAATACTCCTATCCAACCGAAGGACGAACCAAGCAAAGAACGTAAGATTATTTGTTACTTTTGCAAAGAACCTGGTCATATCCGACAGAACTGTCAACAACTTAAATATGAACGTACGTTAGCTATCCTCAGTCCAACATGCGAAAGCTCATCTTCATCATTGAATTGGCGTGCAACTTCCTCTAAGACTAAAGGATCCAAGAAATCAACGACTTTGCAACAGTGAAAAACTGAAACAAGGGACTGTTTCAACTTCTAGTCGGGGGAAATGTAACGTAAATTTCGGTCTCATTATTCATCACTGGTTACAAACCCGTACAAGGATAAATCCGTTCATTATCAATAATCAATAACCAATTAACCCTTATTTAGGATTACTTCCTTCCGTAACCAATATGATCTTTACTATATTTGGATCATAATCATTAATTACTAATCAACCTAAATCTCTATTACTAACCGACAAAGATGAATAAACCTTTGACTCACGAGACACTCGTGACTCTTGATGATCTTGTATAAAATCAGATCACTTACTAATAGAAGGTTCACTTCTTTAGAATCAACATAACATTCAAGTTAAAACATTCTAATAGATTTCATCTTGTCATCATCTTTTAATCAAGTTAACCCATTCCAATAATCTGTGTAATTCATTACAATCATTTAATCAACAATTGGATAATAAAGTTCATTTATATTAGTTAAAGTTCTTCTAATAACGTTTCTACATTATTTAATTCGTTCGTCACTCATTCCGTAACTTTTTCACGTTACAAAATTATCTCTTTATGCGCAATTGATATAATTTTTGTTCTCATCTCATTTTTCGTGGCTGTATAATTAATTACGAAAATCCCACATTTGGCTATCCTCCTTCCGGGATTCTCTACAGACTAAACAAAATCTATAGACTAGATGAAACTCATTTATATTGTTGATCATTTTGGAGTTACCTGTTACCATAATGAAGCTAATTTTCTGTAGAGTAAAATTCATTCAATTCAATGGTTAACATGATAATTCAAACGAAAGTAAACTCATTAATGCTGACCGCTGAGAATTTGAAATTATTTGTTATTTTTGCTTTTACCTTCTTAATAATGAAAATTCATTATCTATTACGTAGGGTCTTGTCTCAATTAGCCGATCATGATTAAAATGAATCAAAATTTATTGATTATTGATGAAGTTTAATTAAGTTGAAATCATCAGGATATTAAAAAAATCATAACTTTGTGTTTACATAAATTTTGTTGGAAAATTGATAATTTGTTTTTTATTGTTCTCTCCGTGATTGTTTCTTGAACTTTCTCATTATCATGATAAAGTTTCAATGATTTTTTCTCCTTGTGGTTAAATTTACATTTTCATCCACATTGTTTCAACCTAGTGGCATCTATTCATGATGAATAATTCGAGGTAATTAATTCACATGTATTATATTCAGTGGGAGGTTAGAATAATTTTCTAAGGAAGACAAAAGCCAAGGAGGAAAGAAAACAACTTGAAAACATTGCAACGAAAATCATAATAATAAGATAATATTAGCATGAGAATTAAAGAGAACGATAGAGATAAAGATGAAGGCTAGAAAATAAGGTTGAAAGTATGTTCTTGAAGGGAAATTTCTCATCAACAATATTCAGTTATTTTCTCCATCACCAGAAATACTAATACCAATTCATATTCTACACTCAAGTGATGGAAATAATATAATATGAGAATTGGTTACTGGGAGATGGAAGATAAGAAAGAGAAGTGGAATGAGGAGGAAGAAAATGTGATGGGGATGGAGAATCGTAAGTGCATAAAATTATAACGATTTATTTTCTCTTCTGGTGGTAAGTTTCTCATCTCATTTTGGCAAACCAAACGAGATGCAAAATATTGACCTGAAATCGAAATGATATTATCAGTTCTTTTTGTTCATGTTCTCTTAATAACGATTCAATTTCTGTTCATGGTTATTCCTATTAAGTGAACTTCTCACTCTAATCATATATTCATATTCTTTCATCATCATTATCATCTTCACTTCAATTTCCATGCAACTCCTCCTTTTTCCTCTCCTGTCGTAAACATTCATTTCGCTTTACTATTCATCTCTTTTTCTTTTCTTTTTCTTAATATTTGATATTCAGCATCCATTTAAAAAGATGATGATGATAATCATCGATGCAAAATTTTCGAAGGCAAAAAAATGGAAGGTAAAAGATCATAAAATTGATATAATTAGAACTAAGGATAATAAATAATAGCATCAGTGGGTGGAAAAGTTTAAAAGTTGTATTTCTACTCCTTTTCCTCTTCACTTTTCGTATTCTTGGAATTTTTTCTCTCTTTTCTTCGTTCTAATATCTTTTTCGATTCAGTACGAAAAGAGAGTCATGAAAGTTTAAAAAAATGATGAGGATGAGCATTAAGACGAAAGTCTCTCAGTTTTAGGTGACAACGATTATGTAATCTAATCGCTTGGAAAGTTAGTAGTTGATTGTATTCATTAAACTGTTTTCAGCAACAATCAATTGGAAAATTTACCTTGATACAGTTTCTTTCCTTTCTAAAAGTCATTAAATCTTTTATCATCACCATCATCATCACTTTCTCAATCTTCTTTTCTCTTCTTTCTCTCATTCTTTATACTTACCCTTTCTCCTTGATTATTTTCATCTTCTTCTACTTTATCACTAACTAATCTTACAGGATTACTGTTGTTTCTTGATTGTTGTTAATAGTCTCCATGTAATAGATTGATTTTAGTTAACTTTAGTTGATTATAATTACTTGAAATTTGATCAGCTAAAAGTTATCGCTAAAGGAAAATAAGGAGAGAGAAAAAAAACCAATAACATGATGTAAATCAATTTCAGTACCAATGAAATCATTCAACGAGTTAGAACATAAATTGAACTGAGAGTAAGGAGAAAATTGTTTATATGATAACAAATTACAAAGTAACAATTTGATTATCTTACACTTTCCTCAATATATCCAGTGATAGTTAATTGTTACTAAATCATAAAGTATACTTGTTACTATTGAACGAAAATAAATAAAAACAATCATTAATCTGAGAGTTTATTTCAAGGTAAATCTTTTGGAAAGTTTCACTTTTTCACCAATAGATTGCATTGTTGACAAAACTTAGAACAGGAATAAAAAAGTTCCTAAACTTTTCCAAGGATTAAGAGTAAGGATTGAATATTTTATCTATGTATTGTAAAAGATTAACACCACAGGAAATTATTGCTGGTTGTTCTGTGGCTGAAGAGGCTCAAATCTTAACATATTAGCAGAAAATATATCAATTTTGATTGAGTATTGAAAAAGATATTGAAAGATTGGACCGTCACTTAAACAAAAAAAAAGTTAATCTCTTGATAATGTTAATCCTTCAATATAATAATATCTTTGGTAACTTTAAGCGAAAGTTATTGCACTTTGAAAATTTCATCCATCATGTTATTACCACTATTATTACATGTTGAAATTGAGTAACTTTCATCATTACAAACATCATCATCATCATTATCATTGTAATTATTATTTCAATCATTACATTCAACAACTCACAAAATATATAATCACTGATACACTTAAATACTTTGCCCTATTTATACACATTTAACAGTGATTTATCATTACATTCATTATTATTATCATTATCAACAACAACAGCAACAACAACATAATCAACTTGATCATTAAAATAATCATCTGCAAATCATCATTAATATAATAAACATAATAATAAGCTATCAACATCATTTCCCTCCCTCAATCAACATCATCATTATGACATCACCTTCATCCTTTTCCTACTCTCATCGATGAGAATATCTTATTTACCTGAAATTATGGTAAAAAAAAACTAAACCATTTTAATCACAAAAATCTATCAACACGCGTTATAACACGAGCCGCAAGCTAAATTTTTTTGATTGATCTGATTAATTTGATTACTAAATTACCAAAACTTTGGGTTTTATGTTTACCAAGAAAACCATCAAATTTTCATAATCTTTCA